TCCAGTTGGCTTTTATTCTGTGCAGGGTCAGTTAATAGAGATATAATCGATGTTTTCCTTCGAACATAAGTAATAATTTTTCTTATCTCTTGAAAGAAAATACTGAGAAAGGTACCAGATACTATGCTATTGAATTCCGTTTATGCTTTGCGATTATCATACCGTGCTTGTATCGAATGGAACGTATTTACGTGGTATAAATGCGACGACTGCTTGCGTTGCAGTAGGCATGATTGAATCAAACAGCTATCAAGCCAATGTCGAAGAACGCATAAAAACTGCGCTTCAATTAAAAAATGTCGATGCACTTTTAAATGCTAACGTGGGGATTGAATGATGAAGTGTATATTTCAATTTTCGTTGTTTGTGCAACTTGTGTTAATGGCAAAAGAATTCGTTTGCTCATGCTTTTGCTTTGACTTCAGGTGCTAAATTACAAAGTGCCATTAAAAGCATTTTTGCCAATACACTTATTCAAGGTAATACACGACAATGTTGAGAGTTGATGAACTATAACTATGCAGATGTTTTGCTGATTTTACCCACGAAAAAAATACCCAATCTGCCGTCTACTATTTTAGTTCACATTAATCTCAGACGGAAGTCTCCATAAGGGTGGGTGCGGATACCAGAATATCACTGTGGATTGTGGATATTGGATATAGCTGTAGTTATGGCTGTGAATCAGTGTGAGAGTTAACCAGTGACGCACCGAAATTCCCATATGAACACCCATGCTGATATTTACGCGGACATCCACACCCACACAGTGGACAGGAGAAAAGGAGTATTAGCAATTCCCAAGTACCAAATAGATTCTTCAGTGGAGATTATATGCATTTTGTGGGTTTTAGTGAGCTATGAACATTCTGAAAACAATTCCTTTTTTTTTTATTATGAAATAACTGTGAATCTAAGATTCTAACAGTACCAGAGACGAAAAGAGTGAGGAAAAAATCAATGAAACAAGAAACACAGAAGATGCAAAAAAGAGGAAAGATTTTACACGTAGAAATGCAGAAGAAAGAAAAAAAGAACAATAAGAAAACAGCATCTAAGATGAATAAAGCGTACAAAGTAGAGAATAAACAAAAGAAAAGAAAACGGGCACAAATAACAACAGATCACACAGTACACCATCTAAATAAACTTAAAAAAGAAAAAGAAGACAGATCACAGCTTTAAAAAAAGAATCAGAAAAGAGTTGAAGAAGCTCTATTCAGCATTTCATACTGTGGTACATAAGAGTTAGAAGCAACCGACGAAAAAAACTTTTTCTACTTCATTTCTGTCCAGATATTTCATTTTTTACGGCATCTTTTATCATATTGCTGTGTCTTTCTCAAGGTTACGTGAAAAATCAGCCTTCGAATTCCAACTTGAAACTTTGTGCATAGAAAGACTTCAATCACACTACTTTATTCTGAGAGTTTCAGGCTTTTCGGTTCCTTCTATTCCAATATATAAGTGTACAATAAAGTACCGTTCTTCACTTGAGGGTGTGGGTGTGGGTCAGTGTTCGACATGAGGTCGCAACAATCAACGTAATTTTGACCCGAATCGGGTCAAATCACGTTGAATATGGCGACCTCATGTCGAACACTGGTGTGGGTGTAGGTGTTAATGGGTGTGGGTGCGGGTGTGAGTGTGGGTGGGGTGTGGATGGGGTGTGGGTGGGTGTGATGTGGGTGAAAAATAACTCGAAAACAACACCCACACCCACACTTACACCCACACACACTCACAACCACACACACTCACCCACCCACACCCGCAATAGCTAAAGATAGCTGCCAGTTGGGATAAGTCGTGGACTATGTGGACGATTTGGCGAACAAACTGCCCACTAACAATCAATATGAGTCGACTATTAACTTCTTCTCGAATAAAGACTTCACATTCGTCACAATCTTCAAACGTTTTCAAACTAATCGCAAAGAGCTTCAGTAGTTTTATTTCTGTTTGTTGCGGAACCTTATTGGCTAATGGACGTAACCAAACCATACGACAAAGCGACCTTTCTATATCAATATTTCCTTCTGAATTTGCTGTGATTTGTTCGAGATCAACGATATAAAACTTTGGGACTGGATTTGATTGTGCTTTTACTCGTAGACAAGTACCAGGTAGTAAAACAATTTCTCATTCATGTGGAAAGGCTGAATGGTTTTCAATATTTTTTCCCTGAAAGCATTTAATTTCGAAAAGAGTTCTACTTTTTGTTTGGTTAAGAAATCCATCAGTAACATGAACCATATCAGTACATGAAGTTACACCTCTCTGAATATGTGTCGTACCTACAAGAAAACATTCAGTGCTTTTTAGTGAAGCAATCCTTAACCACGTCTACCTGGACGATACTGCCCTCTTAGATCACCATTAACACCACGCCATACGTCCTCCGGCCTTGAAGGTAGCCTATTTAATGCTGACAGAAATAAATCATAATAATTTTGAAAAGGTTCTGCTTTAGTTTGATCTTCATGGCGTAGTGTTCGATTGAAGACTGCGCAAAACGTTTTTTTCCTTCAGACCACTGCATCGCATATAGATACAAGGCAGCTGATTCACTTTGGCTGAGACCATCTTTTGGATTTGTACACTTATCCAACGCATATGTGACCATGTTTGATAAGTCTTCGATCAAAAGTTCAAGGGGTTTGATAGTTTCTAGTAATGATTTTGCTGATGTTCTAACTGAAGATACGCTCATGCATGGCAAAAGTTTGCCTAATTCCTGATTAACGTCAAGAAAACGACCTCGATGGGCAGATATGTTCTCTTGGTTCTTCTTTTTCATGGAACTAATATTCTTGCCTATTGTGCTCCACCTGAAAAGTAAAATAATCATATATTCGCGAAATAGGGTGTGGATATGGGGTGAGACGTTGGTAGGTGGGTGTAAGTGCCCTGTTTGCAATAGCACCCATATCCGCATGTACGCGAAATATTATTGAGGTGCACTGTAATCTGTTTTATTGAAAAAGCGATTGGATAGTTGTAAGAGTTTCCTCGTCAGCCTTGACGCAGTTTACAGTCACGACTAGGTTTAATCTGCTGACCTTCAAACCAAACGAAAAGAAGAGCATTTAGATTGTTTCAATCGTCTAGTGGGTACGTATTGTAATGTAGAAGACAACTTTGGTTACTTATTCTTGTGAACTCACTGAAATAACCAGTGTCGCAAATCTTATAGTAAAAAGAAAATGTGATTCATTTGATTCAGACATAAAAAATTGTTTAGAATCAACGAGTTGAGGGTGTGGGTGTGGGTTAGCAAAGAGATAAGACCTACACTCTCATACTCACACCCCACATCCACACCCATCCACACCCACACCCACACCCACACCCACACCCACACCCGACGATTCTTATTATGTTATACCTATTATTATAAATGAAGAATTTCTAAATAATCAGTATCTTCATAAATGACATCTGCATATAGCCGAGTACGTATTAATCGATTTTTTTAAAAATGAAGACTTCTTTGAATAAATTCGGGTTCGAATAGAATTTATACCCTAAAAGCTTCAGCATTTCATTTAAAAATATAACTTCTTAAATATAATGATTGTATAAGGCAAATTTCCTATCAAATTTGAAGTATGTATATGTCAAAAGTTAAATTTAATGAAATATTTCTTTGTATTCTTTTAAATGAGTTCTCAATTCACACCTTTCCACGGATAACAGCATAATAAAACAAACATTAGAAGTGAAATATGCCGCACTTGGTAAACTTAATATAGAGTATGTTGTCTATCTATTCTTCAAGTTTGATATGATCGTTGACACATTGAATATAAGCAAAACATATCTTATTCTTTTGCTAAGATGTTAAATAACTGTAAGAGTATTTTCTAAAATGCTTGTAGATATAAATAAAGTATGAAACGTAGATGAGGAATTTCATTTAGTATTTGTATTCATTCTTTCAGTACAATAATCAAATGCCATTGAGCAAAAATTAGCTCCTCTTTTGGTTGCATACTAAACTATTCTAGAGAGGGTGTAGGTGCAGAATAAAGGATGCATAATACATAACCACACCATCCCATCCGTTCGTCGAAGCTCTTCAAAATTACATATATATCACTAGGAATTTATCTAAAGAAAGATTCAATGCGAAAAAAAATAATCGACTCATAATAAAAGGCATATATCATCTACATAAGGGTGGAGTGTGGGTGTGGGTCTTCATCTAACTCTAAGTCACCCACATCCACACCCACACCCACACCCACACACCCACCCACACCCATACCCACACCCACACCCACACCCACACCCACACCCATACCCGTCATACCCACACCCGACCAATACACTCACACCCAAAGAGACTCGGCATTCGAAGGTTTGCTTTGTCATACATTCTGATGGGCAACATGAGGAGCGGTTGGCGTTATTGGTCGAAATGAAGCAACGGAGCTCAAAGAACGAAGTCATCGCCACGGATTCGTCTTGACATTGCCATTGACAAAACAAACCGATGATCACATAGCTCTACACTTATGGGTTCACAACGAAACGGAACGAATCTCTATCAATATTTGCTGTACCTATGTGCTCCGTCGTCGCTCATGGATTCAAAGCATGTCGTTCTCGCTTATCACATTAGCACTTCATTTGCTAAGTTAAAAACAACACTGTGGGCTAAATTAGATTTATCGAAGGTGCACTGCTAGACTATGGAATTGTCGAGTAAACTTCCTCATAAAAGACTCTGTCAGGTATAGTTCTCTTGGAATTTCGAAAATCGTTCGCTTTCTGAATCTATCCTGCAGGACTTCTTAAGTTTGATTAGTTTTGTTTTAATTTAGACTTTCACGATTATGTTTTGATTCATTTTCAAGTCACATTTACCAAAAGACAGAAAGAAAAACAGTTACAATTCATCAATTATTGTTTTAAAAAAGTTCAATCTACACTCGAATACAAATATAATTAGGTAAGTTGAGTTTGTAGATCATTCTCGCTTCTCATTGTTCGTGTTACGTATGTCTGTAGTTAAAATCGAATATTTCACTATAAAATGGTTTAGGATGGAGAAGAACACCAGTATAATGAAGAACAGTGGCAACCATGGGTACAGGCAGCATACTATTCTTATTCACTGAAACTGTTCGAAATTCATGTTCGAGTAGTGCGTTCACGCCCATATCGACGAATAAATTTTCATAATTACCTTCGGGCAAATTGGGAATCAGTATGAGTTGCTCATTGTTGGCTTCTTGTGTCACATTGAACACTCCGATGAGACCTTCACAGGTTGATGCAACCTCCCATATGACCACAATACATGGGCTATGATGGGCCAACGTTAATCTAAGAAAAGAATCCAGAATAATGTTCAGATCACATCTAGACTTCACTTCTCTGACCTGGCTCCTTTAGCGTCGATCACCGGATGTTTCTTGATTTGTATCAGCTTGCGTGTAAACTCTTCAAGTGAACGTCCTTCTCTACAGTCAACCCAATCTTTTTCGAACAGAGATGAAAGTTTTATTTGTTCCGTTTCTTGACCAGCGTTTACCAAGAAGCATCCTTTATTGAATGCACTAAAAGCTACAGAAAAAAAAAAGATATCTATAGAAGACTTTTGAAAACACTCTCCTCTCGTTCGTAGATGCTTCAGTGGTTGTTGATTAAAATTCATTTTTTTTGTCAAAAAAAGGTGAGAACCACCCTCGAGATGATGCGCTGAAATCTTCTTCTGCGTATAAGTGCATCTCGTTTTTAGTACTCTTGTTCATTACTACAGCGAACCGTGAACCACGAAATATATGAGAAAATTATCTAGTCTACAAAACGCTCGTAGTATGCACTGCTAGATGAGTTTAGCTAGTTTTTTCGTATTCAAAAGGTAAAATCGTTGAGGACAATATGCTCGATAATAAGCTGTTGTAAAAAAATATATCTACTCCAAAAATTAATAGATTATTATTCACGTGTTCAAATAGAAATGTACAGTTCTAGTTTCTTTACTTAACATCAGTATCGTTGGTCAACGTGTGAAATTATTGAGAGAATCTTTTTCTCCACTGACCAGTCTTAGATGGATCTGTCATCATAGATCTTCGCTTATGCAGAAAATTCTCAAAACGTACGTCTGGAGAGGCCATTTTGAACAGAATAAACTGAAACAGGTACTGCTGACTCGGACAAGTATTGCGTATAGAACGAGGCCGAGACAAACCGATAAAAAGACTTCCATGAAATCGTTTGATTTTTAGGAATATTCTCAAAATGAAAGTGTATAAAGGATACACCAGAAAAATGTTTCTCTTACTATTCTTTTAACACTTAGCTTAACCTTCATTGTGTAGACTTCTGTTCCTTCCAAAAGAAGTGTCACCAAATTTTCTGAAGAAATTTCAAATGCTATATCGATAGCTGAATACTAAACAAATATCGAAGGATCGTTTTTCGAAACTGAAAGCTAATTTTAACGAAGTTTTTATTGATCAGTAACATTAAAAATAAAATAGAAGGTCCGACTATTTTCATCAAATTTTAGTTATTTTACTTAGAATTTCGGAGAATCAAATTTTTCGATCTTCAATTGAATTTGAACAAACTTTGAGTTGAATTGCGAGAAGGAAAACAGTTTAAATTCTTCATATTTCTTTCACTGTTTGCTGTAGTGTAAAAATTATTATCTAATTTATTTGTAGAAACCGGCCTGAAACTCGATCTTTTCGTATTTGTTAAGTATTGACTTATACTTTCGAAAGACTCAAGCCTACACTGAAAAAAAATGGTACGCTGCGGAACTTATGAGGTTTTGTGGAACTTTGCCATACCTTTAAAAGTATCGCACAAATGCACGAAACCACTTTAAGATGTCGAAGTATCTCACGTTTTGTTTAAGGCCATTAGGGGTATTTCTACCCGAAAAAAGTTTCGTATTATACCCTCTAAAAGTATCGTAGCAAAGAGGTTTTGCACCAGACTACTTTTGCCTCGTCTCAACCATTATAGAGACATATGTTCATGAATTAGCAATTCAACTGATTCGACTCCTTTCTTCTGTTTATCTATTTAGATTCATTCTACAGTCGACTGTGCATGTTAAATGATTGCTTCTGGGCTTTTTTCTTGCGCGCAAGAAGTTTATTATTGGGCTAATAGAGAGTGTTTCAGTTGTATAACAATCACATCTCTTTCTTCCCTAAATCTTTGAGCGGTTTGAAATTTTACCGAAAGAATCGTAGCATCCGAAATGGACTATATTTTTCACGCAGCTAAATTAACCTAGACTTCTAGTAGCTTTACATATCCATCCATATTAATAAAAAAGTAAAAGATAGAGATCATGTATTTCGGTGGTAGTGACGATTAATGGCTCTCTTATGTAATAATGTGCCCCTCTCTTACTAATTGGCTTAGGATTAAATAAATTCAAAGCCCATGCAATTTTTGGAGTTCCGAAATTTCGTCAATAAGACTTTCACTAATAGGCGAAAATCCAGAGGATATGTTGGTGAAAGCATAGTGGACTTACGTCAACCGGTGAAATTCCACGGGGTATATTGGCGAGTGTCCACATGACTTTCGCTATTGGTGAATGCCCATTCGACGAAATTTGGGTAACCCATTCAAATCGTAAGTGATCATTCGAATTCGAAAACGTTATCTGTTTCGTTTTTTTTTATATTTTAAGTTCACTTCGACCTTATTCATATAGTAAGTGATGCTTCGAATAAGAAAACATTATCGACTTCTTTCTTTATGTTTTAGATTCACTTGCATCTTATTCAAATGATAAGTTGTATTTCATCGGATGAGACCTAGCAAGATCTCTGGTTTTGGTGGTTTTCTGAGATTAGCTTGCTGTCGAAATGCGTTCTTTTGCTGGAGAGCGACCTTCTCTCATTGCGTTGCTGCTGTCGGGAGCTTGGAAACCTTCTATTGGTTTGTGAGATTGGTACCCCAGAAAATTCTGCAAGGAATGATACCAGTTTCCGCGACCTCAGAAATCCTGCTCGAGTTTTTCAAAAAAGGGGTTTTCTTACACAGTAGATGAGCATAGTAATGCATAAAGAGAGCCAGCGGTGTTCTATTTGAATGCCGTCGAAATTTTGATTATGAAACCGTTTTGACGTGAGCTAACAATAGTTTTGTACGAAACCATATTTTTACGAAACTTTAAAAATATTTCAAATTCGTTGCAAAATTCGGAACCTTTTTTTTTTTAGTGTACACAGTGAAGGTTGAGAGTGATGCTAAACAATCACTGAAATAGACATGTAATCTAGCACACCTGCTATATTTCATTCAGTTTTGACTTTTGATTCAGAAGAATCCTATTTCTCTCTCTACTGAAAACATGATCTTTTTTAAATTGTGCTTTGACTGGTGAATCTCTACTATTGCAAACGCTGAGGCTGCCGCAGTTCGACTTTGCTAATCTTCCTTTGATGACTTGTCATCACCTCATAAGAAGCAGCTAACTTTTGTATAATATTAGTGCTATTTTATGTTTCTTTTGAAAATAACTTGTGTTTGCTCTTGAAGCGATAGAAATAGGACACTTTTTATCAAAATGAAGAGTTACTTTCAAAAGTAACATTCTTTTACCACCCCCTGTAGAATCAATATTTGATAAGTCTCAAGTGACCTGTCCATGCCAGTGCTTTCCATGGATTGTCTCGACAGATGTGCGCAATTCGATCTTGATCATGGTTTTCAACAAATCTCATTTTGATAAAGTCTTTTGGATAGATGAATGTTTGAAGACGAACAAGTTCGAGATAGGATTTGATCGGAATGGCCTCTTGCACTGCAGCGCGCCACGCCACATACAGATCATAGTCATAACATACATCAAAAGTTTCATAAAGTTCTGCATCTGTATGGACTAATCCGTTTTGATCACGATAACTTTTCATAGCACTAAACCAACTGGATTCAGCCAACCAAATACAACGAGGATTTGCTTCGGTCACGGAACGTCTAGCTTGTCGCCTGAATAACAAAAGAAATATTTGCAAAAACAAGTGCCAATTATATTCATCACCAGAATTCCATGGGAACACAAGAAGCAACATCCATGCGAAATCCATCAACACCATGTTCACACCAAAACTTGAGTATATCAATTAGTTCAGGCCATAATGTCGTTTCGTTTCCTTCGAACTTCAAATCCAAAATATCCGTCCATTGAGGAATTAGACAAATGGCATTGTCCTATAAAGAAAATGTTTAAATATTGAACGAGGCATATAAATGAAATCTAGACCTTTTCATCTCTTATATACCATTCTGGATGTTCTTTTACCCATGAACAATCATGGCTAGTATGTCGATAGACGATGTCTATCATGAGTTTCATACCTAGTCGATGAATTTCTGAAACTAAACGATGGAAGTCATTCATTGTACCATATTCTGGATTGATAGCACGAAAATCTTTTATCGAATACGGTGAACCAAGTGAGCCTTTGCGATTAGTTATACCAATCGGATGAATCGGTAAAAGCCATATAATATCAATTCCCATTCGGACGATACTAGATAAAGAAAATGTCTTGGTGAAGAACAAGCAAAAATAGATTTGAACAAACCGTTGAAGATCATTGATAACTCCTTGAAATGTACCACTTTCGGAATGATTTCTCGTATAGATACAGTAAATAGTCGAATTTTGAATGCCTTCGTTGACCATGGCTATAGTTTGCACGTAAAATAGATAAAGAAGTAAAAGGAAGAGGACTTTATGAGTAAATTATAGTGAATTTTCGGAAACGAACGAGTACATTGCGATGATGGAGATTGAGAGTAGTTCCTACACTATTATGACTATATCCTACGAACTATAAACTAATGCCTATACCCTCATGAATATTTCTTGACATATAGGTATAGATACTGCAGAATCATTCACATTGAGTACTTTTAAGTATAGTAGATTGAGTTTTCAGATAACCAGTATCACAGATTTAGTTGAAATTTTCTACAACATTAAAATCACTCCTCACCATTGCGATGTCTTGTAAAAGGTTTGATGCCATATTAGTGGAAATGGATAGGCTTTGTGCGTGAAAGATAGTACATAGAAAAGCTATGCATCGTTGAAATGCGCTGATGTGTCACCTATTGATTGAGCTAGAGACTAATTCTCATACAAAATCGAATAATTTTCCTGACATAGCTGAAACTGTTCTAAACTAGGTTAAAATTGTATTCCGAGACACAAGAGAGTCATTTATTATTTTTTGGTAAAGGAATGCATATTATACTAACAAAACTGCCCTTATATCAGCACGAACATTTCATCAACAAGCAGTACGAAATCCGCAGTTGGCTGCTGACTCTACTTTTTGTGGAACTCACATATATTTTAGAAGAAAATAGTGAGTTTAAGTTTTAAGTTTTGGGTTTTGGGTTTTTGCGACTCTCCCACTCCTCCCCATTACAGACCTTAGTAATCCCCTTCAAGAAAATAATTGTTCGAAATTCAGACGTCAATAAAATAACGGTTTTCTGCAGAGATACACTGTATTCGAAAACAACTTTAGTTTAAGAGGAAATTTTTCACTATTCGTATTTTGTATTAGTTTAATGATAGTACAGAATTTACGTGAGTTCCACGTTTCAGCCCCGAAGGGACTGCGCTAACAAGCTTTTAAAAGCACACTAAAGTGAAGTCCATATAGATCAGAATATGCAGAGAACGAGTTGTGACAATAGAGACACCAAATATGAAGAACGAATACTTATAGTTTGCGTTTGATGTAATAAAACCTTTATTGCTCCTGTTTGACCTAATGGCTCGATTTGTGTGCAAAGTAAATTACAAAAATATCATCGTACTCACTGTATCGCTTTCAGTTTAAATAAGATGTAAATTTTGATGATTGATGGTTAAATAACGAGCTTGCGATTAGTTTCCACTAATACAATACCAAACTTTGACAAGACATTGAAAGTACAAAGAGTGGCATTAATGTTGTCAGAAATTTTCTACAAAATCTTGGATATTGGTTATCTGAAAACTCAGTCGACTACACTAAAAGAAACTCAATGCATAGGACTGTGTAGTATCTATATCCATATTTTAAATACCTTGGAATTCGAATATCTCAATCACGGTACTCCAATGGTAGCTCACAATCAAAATTTATAAATATCCCATTGGAAAAAATTATTCCGACTGGAATATATTTCATCTGATTACCCCATAATACAAATACCTCTATTGTTATTCAAATGATTATGATCAAAATTAGGGGTGCGAAGTTACCGTTCCCAGACCATTACCCGGGAACAGTAACGGCCCGTTACCAGTTACCCGGGGACGCGGGAACGGTGAGTCCTACGTCGACCGTTATCAATCACGAACCCTCGCTTCTCAAGATCTACTATTGGGAGGTACCCTAGGGTCCTCAAGTCCTACTATTGGGGGAAGGGGGTACCCTAGTGTGCTCAAGTTCTACTATACTACACGTTCCCTACATAAAATGAAAGAGAAGCGTTCCTCAAACTTGATTGGTCGAAAAATTGACCAATCAGATTGCGAGATTCTATTCCACGGCGATTCGTCGGGTGAAGCCATATTCATATACCCCTCTTTCGATAGAGGATCCTTGATAACCCTAGGATCGGCTCGAACATGACTAGTACTTGTCCGAACAATATGAAAGAAACGAGCTCCTGAAATCTAATTGGTTGAAAAAATTGACCAGTGAGGTTTCAGGACTCCTTTTGTTTCTTATTCTTAGGAAAATCACTAGTACTATTCGGACTAATCCTAGGGTTATCGAGGATGCTGTATTGAACGAGGGGTATATGTATGGAGCTCCACGCTCCATAACACCGAGAAATAGAATCTCATAATCTGATTGCTCCATTTTTTCTACCAGTCAGATTTCAGGAGCTCTTCCCAAGCCAAACAAGCAGACGATAAGATCTTACATGATCGTACACCTGATCTTGCACGATCTTGTAAGATCAGACGAAAAATCGTACGAAACTCGTGGTTTCAGAATTCTTGCAGCAAGTCGTACGGTAAGATTCTTGACCGATCTTGCTGTTTTGTAACATATTACTGTAAGATTATAGAAAATTTTATATCACGATAAGATCTTATAAGAATCTTATAAGAATCTTATAGTACGATTTGATGTAAGATTTCTGAGATCACGGTTTTTTGTATGATTTCACCCGATCGTACAAGACTTGATGTCTGATTTTTTGACCTGGGTTCTCTTTCATTTTATGTGGGGAAAGTGTAGTATAGCAGGTCTTAAGGGTCCAACAGTACCCTCCTCCCAATAGTAGGACCTGGAAACCCAAGGGTACCACCAATAGTAAGACTTGACGACCCAAAGGGTACCAGAAATAGTAGAACTTTAGGACCCAAGGATACCCCAATAGTAGGACTTGAGGACCGAGGATACGGGGTTGATGACGGTAGACACTCACCTGTTCTTTCTCCCGCTCCCGTGTAACTGGTAACGAGCCGTTACCGTTCCCGGGTAACTGGTAATGAGCCGCTACCGTTCCCGGGTAATTGGTAACTGTCCCGTTACGAGTTACGCGGTAACGGGAACTTCCAGTCCCTAATAAAAATTAATTGATTTCAGAGAGGGGAAAAGTCACCAAGTATCGATGACAATAGGTTGCTCTTGAAAATTGATGCTAAATGATTAAGAAAAAATCGTAGACAATCGATGGCACTCGCTAGTAATCGATTTTATTCGATTCCAATGGAAAAGTCATCGCATCTTTTCGATTAAGATCAAATTATCACACAGTTATGTGCAGTTAGAAAGAAAAACGTGGTTAGGCGCAGTTGCGCGCAACTACGTACAATTACGGACCAGAGTGCGATCGTAGTTGCTAAAAAAGCGGCCACATGAGAATTATTCTAAAGCAATGACGCTTCATTTTACGTGAAAGAAAATTGTTAATTGAGATCGGTCAAATAAAACTTAAAAACGCTTTTCTGTTGCAATGTTTTCATCTTCAAATTTATATTTGCGTTCGCTTATCTGATAAAGAAGTATTATCTTGAATATGTTTCAATTTCTGCGACTAGCTATTGCAAAAACTCAACATACCGTGTATTCAGTTAAAAATATTGGCTAATACTTCACTCTGAGAAATTAGTTGCCCAACTGCAGCGAAGACACAATGCAGTAAAATATTCTTATCGTTGTTGCATAAACCATTTATTCGTCCAGTCTGAACGAACTCAGAGCATGTAGGAAGAAACACGAAGGTGTGGGTGTGGGCGTAGCTGTAGCTGTCGTTGACCACATCATACACACCACACTCACACCCAAAAAGTGAACAGAAGCGTATATTTCAAAGCTCTGCCCAATGAACAACTGCGCACTGATATTGGCATTAACTTTTGAAACCATCTCGAGGTCTGTACCTTGTATAATAACGAAGTTATAAGGGCTCTTCTGAAAGGCATAAGAGTAAGCTGCAAATTCAGTCTAGAAGAACATATCGGGTTGAAATTTTTATCAAAGACGTTTCTCACTAGCGTCCCCCATACCTGAAGTTTCAGCTCAAATGGATCATTCTAAATGGTGAATCCATTGTTAGAGAGCCCTTAATGTTAACTATTTTTTTCCTTTTCTTTCAGCCATCAATATCATCAAGTCGTCGTTGCCGTCGACAACATCATCGTCCAACATCAAAGAGAAAGAGTAATTATTTCTTTCTTTTGGAGACTGAGAATATGGAGAGGATGTGAGCCGGAGTAAGGGGTGGAGAGTTAAGCTTTATTTAATCGACACCCATACTCACACCCACAACCACACCTCGAATTTCCCACGATTTCGTGGTTTGAGGTATTTCACTTCGAGAAAATGTCATTCTCAACAGTTGTGTCAATGTAAATCGTTATAACTCAACAGTTGTGTCAATGTAAATCGTTATAATTCTTAAAGTTTGGTAACTGTTTCTCTGCTATATTCGAAAATCTTCTCCTCTGTCAAAAGTAACCACTTAAAGTGAATTTCTTGCATGTGACTGAAACATCGATTTTGTTAGTGAAGTATCTAGTTAGTTTCCTAAACCTATCAATACGAAACGGTAAGGATTTTCTAGATTTCTTTGGAAGGGAGAGCTTTTGCTGGACATGTACGTTAAAGCTATCGATTGAAAGTCCTACCAATAAACGCAAACTCTATTAGCAACCAGAATAGCGAGATTAGGAAAATAAATCTGATTGAACGAGGAGAAGATGCCTGCCCTCAGAAAATCTCTGGTTGCATAGTTCATGAATATGCCAATTGCTTGTCGTAGTCAATAAATAGTTTAATACTGTCAGTCCAGCTGTTATTAGTGTAAATTGTATTAGGTTGTGCTTCGAATTTGATCAAAATCTCCCGATTTTGTATATTTTTATGCAATTCCATCGTGATACTACTTTGAGTTGAACCTTTTTAATACAAGAATATGTCATGGTGATTGCGAACATTCACAAGCTTACTCAAATTTCTTCTACGCTGTCCATTTCCGTGAGCTGTATGGATGGATCTT